AAATGATGATATTAACATATATTAAGTTTTATCATTCTTAATACATTTTAAAAATATATTTTAAACATACAAATAACTTTAATAGTATAAATATAAAAATAATTATTAAAATTAAATAAAATGATTTTTTTGAATTTCTTTGTTTTATTATGTGATTGCATTAAATGAAATAAAATTAGGAGAATTTCAAAAACTCACTCCTAAGTGGAATTTGAATAAGGGATTTAGAATTGGAATACTAAATTCTTCTTTTTAAATTCTTATAAATTTTGATAATACTCATTATTCACTTAAAGTAAGAAATTTCTTTTAAAATTATGATAAAAATATTTTTTTCAAAATTTTCATCAAAATATATCCTAATTATTTTTTTATAAATATATAATTAGTTTTAAAATAAAAAGAAAGTATTTTGATATATTTTTGAAAGTGGGACGATCGTGTAGTGTTTATCAAAACCCGACCCTAACCACGAAAGCTTTAAATTGAAAGGGCGTCCCACCCCTAAGCCTGATCTTAAAAGTGAGTAGAGACCAACCGTTAACATTTGAATTATTTTGGTCTAAAAAGGAAAAAGGCTAAGTGGCTCTTGAAGTTTGACTTCTAACTCTCTACTTGGGGATTATAAGTGGGGGTACTAGTATTTGTTTTTTCCTAATCAATATTCTTTATGCAAATAAAAATATTTATTTTTATTTAGAAATGAAAATATTTAAAATTATAATAAAGAAATTAATAATATGAAATTGAGGGCTTAACTCTAATCAAACAAGCTGAGTTCTTCACAACAGATATCAGTAGATTTAAGTGTAGCTAATACAAGACAAACCACCTATTATCGGCAACCAAAAGAACACAAATAACCAATACTTCATTTGTCTCTTAAAATCAATATGAAATGAAATAAGACAATAGTACAAAATAAGACAACAAACAAACTATACCACTTTCTATCATGAATCCATAGTTCTCTCCCCACACATACGCTCAAGCATCTCCTCCATCAAATCATAAATTAACATTGAACATAGGTTTGTATAAGTGTCTTAAGTACTACCAATGTATCAAATGTAATAAAGAAAATATAAAATCTTTTTAGTTGTGAGAAATATATATATGCATTTCATTTGTGTTTATTTTATTTTATTTTTATAAAGTTTATCCTTTACGTTATTAGCATTTAAGTTTATGTAATATTAATGAAAGACAATTATTCCATTCAAGAGTTTTGAAATAAATATATAAATAAACGTACTCTTTTTATACCTTGAATGCATTAACTCATATCATTGACCATATGTTTGACAATGGATATTTAAACATGCAATAAAATACCATATAAACATGAGAACTTGCATGGCTCAATGCCTTAACTCTGTAGACAACATAGGATAAGCAACCAAACTTGAAAATGATCTAGAAGATCAAACAAAATGAGTGTTTAATTGTATTTATAAAAATCTGACTGAATGATTAATTTTATTTATAAAACTAAAGGTCGAGACTCCAAATTAGGCAAAGTTTTTCAGTAATCAAATAATAGAAATTAATCAAAATGTAAATCGAACTAACTGATGAATCACAAGTATTTGAAAATGCTCACCATAACAATATTAATGAACTCTATAATTACCTGCACTGTAAGATTTTGAACAAGCATACGATGGTCAAAAGGGAAATGAACACTGGCTCAGATAACAATGCATTCAGAGGCGACTCGCCTACAATTTAAACAAGTAAACTAAGCATAAGAGGATGGAAACCTCAAATGGCTAACAGAAAAGACTAAGCATTTAACAATAGTAAACTAAGGCAAGATAAATTATGCTTTACCATTTCAACACTGTAATATTAAATTTCATCATAAAACACATCAGTAAGGTAGCGAAGACAAACTAATTACCAACATTTTCCATCCCCACATATCAGTCTAAAAAAGCATACAATGTCAAAATCCCAGATGCAACATCAAAAGGTGTATTACCTTTGGCGCTATTTTTTTGGGAAAACACAAACAGTTTCAATTCCTGGAGCTGGACCAAAATTGGAACCAGATAAAATGGAAAAGAAGGGGAAAATAATATATAATATAAATTTGTGAAAACATACCTAAAATCGCCAACGTTGCCGTGACCTTAAACAGCCAGCAACACCGACAATTTAAGGAGAAAGCAAACTGCAGAGGCTCCCACGACGAACCAGAGCTGACCAGCTGCGAACCAAGTTGGCTAAACCCTACCTCGATGAAAACCCAACCCCACTGTAGCCTTAATCGGCCGAAAAACACCCTAACGACGGTGATTGTGACCTAAAGCTGTTGGTTTCGGACTCCAAAATAGTCCCCAACGACAACGAAAACAAGGGTCACAACGTGAGGGGCTTTAGGGAAGAAGACCGAGGACCTTACCCTTAACAACGAATGGTGACAGAGTTGGGATGAGTGGACAGCGGCGAGGTTGAAAGAGAGAAAACAGGAGGGTGGGGGCGGTACTCGTGAAAAAGGAAAAAGAGATAGGTTTTATGATATAAAAGACCATTTATTTTGCGGCGTTTATTACAAAAACTCCACTATAAATGAAGCTATTGCGGTGTTTTTAGATACAAATGCCACTATTAATGAAAACTACTGTGGCGTTTGTATAAAAACGTGTCTAAAGTACTCTTTATCGTGGCATTTATTGGAAAACGCAACTAAAACTAACCTTATTACGGTGTTTGTAACACAAACAACGCTATATTACTACTCTATCGCGACGTCAAAAAACGCCGCTATTTGATAAACATTAAATTAAATGTATTGATGTACCTATTGTGGCATTTTTTTGTAAAAATGCCACTATTTATGAACCTATTGCGACGTTTTTTTATGTAAACGCCGTAAAATGTCATGTATATAGCGGCGTTTTTTTATATAAACACTGCTAAATACCTTTATTTATATAAGGTTAACATATTTTAAATATTTCATTTCTTCTCTACATAAACTAAATTTACTACCATGTATTTTTATATAATTAACAACAACCATACATTTTAATTAAGACAAAAGTTATGCATAAAACTACTTAACAACAAAATACATTATAATTTAGAAACATTAAAGTTATGCATAAACAGTCTTCACCCATATTGTTCACTACAATTTAGTCTTCATTGCTCCTTCGTGGGGAAAGGACGTAGGAAAGCTGTTTTCCTTGTTTGACGACTCATCGTTAAGTTTTTTCTCTGTGTAAACTCTATATGGACAAACTCTTCATCCATTTTACCAAATAAATCCCCTACCTCTAGTTCACCAAGAAGACTCCTTGCGCGCTTCAATGCTTCACTTGAAACAGATAACGACCCTCCACCTATAGTATGAAACTTGATTGGAGGTGGCTTGGGAACTGATCAAACATTAAAATAAATTTAAATAGATGATATAAACGGTTACTTGGAGTAACAGTAGAGGCAACGTCGTCTTCATTGAGGATCGATATTGCTTTTGTAATTGAAGATTCTTTCAACGCCACTGAGTTACCAAATTTGGTTCTAAACATCGGGTATTTATCCAATCCTATATCATCGTTCTCAATAACCTTCGAAGATCCTACGTGCATACGATCTATGAAATTTGAGTGACCGTACAAAAACAAAATATAGCGGCTGAAAGATTCATAGATTATTATCTTCAAGTAGGAGATCGGCAATGGAAGGGTATGGAGTAATAAGAGTTCCTTTCGAGTCATCATCGAGTTTCGACGGCGAGACCGGACCGATAGCCTCCCAACGATAATTTGATCCATCGTTAGAGCAAATACATCACGTAGACATTCCGACGATAATTTCTCTTACTCAAGGCAACACCTGTTCTTTTTTTCTCAATTACGTTATCTTTCTGTGTTTTCCCCATTTTCAGAATACCAACAAAAACAAAAATGAAAAATATCATTAGTGATAAGAGGGATTAAACCGTGCATTTGTGTTATAGTTCGTCGGTCAGTGGGTCGATTTTTTCGTCGGAACGGACAAAAGACGATGTCGCTTGGAATCGTATGAGGGCTGTTGTTGTACCAGAGAAGAAGCTGTGAGGGAATAAGAGTTGAAATGCTTTTAGGGTTCGGGTAGGAGAAAAGGGAGGACAATATATTTAACATTTTGCGGCGTTTTTATAAAAACGCCATTATATCACATGTTTTTTGTGGCGTTTATACAAAAAACGTCACTATTGATTAACACTATTGTGGTGTTTCTCAAAAAACGATGCTAAAGTATTATTTATTGCGGCGTTTATTTGAAAAATGCCACTTCGAAAACCCTATTGCGGTATTTTTGTTACAAACGCCGCTAAATTACCACTCTATTGCGACATTTTTTTACAAACGCCGCTAAATTACCACTCTATTGCGGCGTTTGGGCTAAAACACCGCTAAATTACCACTCTATTGCGGTGTTTTTACTATAAACGCCGCTATTGATTAACCCTTCTGTGGCGTTTATCTAAAAATGACACAAAAGTATTCTTCATTATGGCGTTTATTGTAAAAACGCCACTATAAATCACCCTATTGCGGCGTTTCTGGTAAAAACGCCGCTATATTTCTACTCTATTGCAGTGTTTGTATAACAAACGCCGCTACAGACTCAATTTGTGGCGTTTGGATTGTAAACGCTGCTATATGTTTAACTTTTGTGGAGTTTACTCTCCAAACACCGCTACATAACATTTTTGCTGTAGTGAATGTTTAAATGACTGCCCATCAAGGCAGTCATTTAATAGACTGACTGTTGGATGTTCATCTTCAAAGGGACGGGACGTTGCAGTAGCTGCACCACTAGAACCCACAATTACCTCTTGTAAATCCAACGACGCCAAGATTATAAACACCAATGTTTAAATTCCACCTTCTGGTGCTTCTGCTCGTATTCACCTTCCAAGAAACTATGTATAGATATGCATATTACATAGTAATTTATGAACTTTACTGATTAATATATTAGATGTATGGTTTTACAAAGCATTTAGTTTTAGTAATACGTACAATATCAAAACAGGAAAAAGAAAAAAACTAGCTATATGCATTCAAAAGATCAATTGGGAGGAAGATATATCATCAAGATCATCATCATCCAATGACAAAAACATCTCATCAAGGTATGACATCTCACTTCCATCTTCGTCACTGTAACTGAAGCTCTGAGCGTTGCCCTTATTTTCTTCAACTTTACATACGACCCATTTACTACAATCATATATATCAACACAATTAAATTCCGAGCATAATTTACTAAACAATCAAACTTATTAGATAAGACAATTCACTTACCACTTTCTTGTTTTCTTTCGTTTTATAGTAGTGTGATGAAAGATGGTATTCTTGCATCAGCCAATTTGTTTTCATCCCAAACGGAGCTTCCCCCATGAAGAATCCATGGAGTTTCTTTACCCCTATCTTCTTCCCTGAACCAGAACTGAAGATTGGCTGCTCAAAGTCCAGTTGTTTCCAATACCCTTTTTCCAGCAGTACTCGATTCTCCATCGTTTGGCCGAAGAAGAAGTACCGTTTTTCACTCAACAACGCCTTCCCTATTCAACCAACAAACCCATTTCATCACTTAGGAAAAAACGTTCACCATAAAATAACAATCGTAATCAAGGATTTAAATAACCGTATGATATCAAAATAGCAGCAATTATATGAAAAAGTAAAGTCTTAAATAGTTATCGTACAATCGTAATACCTGTAATGATTGTGAAAACGTGACGGTAACTAAGATTTAAATCCCTGATCGTAACAATAATATGAGAATGAGAGAAAAGCTTACCATCTAATTCCCAGGGATGAAGCAGATAAATATCAAGCTCGGGAATGATGTTGGGGTAGCAAGGCAACAGCGAGGACTTGGGGTAGAGAAAGTGAAGAACAAGTTCTTCGTCGGTAGGGCAAAACCGGAAGCCTAGAGGGAGCTGGTTGACCATCAGGCAGCCGTCTTCCATTTCCTTGGCTGTTAACAGCAATTAATCTATACGAAGATTAAGCGGAACAAGTGGATACTAATTCCCGAATATTTATAAAGCTGGAAATGGATGACGATGATTTAGGAGTTGAATCGATAAAAGGCGGCTGTAAAAGAAAAAGGAATATATATATATATATATATGTTGTGGGATGGACTCCGAAAGAAATGGATAACATTGTAGGATTACTGGTTTTTTAAGGAACACATGTGAGATTTCTTTAGTTGGTATTTGAATATTAGAATATTTATGCTTCATCTACAAGTTGTTTTCATCACTAGAATATTATACATTATTATTTTCTGGTGTAGGTTTTTTTAATATGATTCATTATATTATAAAATACAATTTAATAGTTAAAATTTCAAATCAAATAATTCAAAAATATAAATATAAATAAATATCACTATTAATACTAATATAATAATAGAAATACATTGACAAATGATTTTATCAAAAATATTTGTAATGATTAAACAAATTTTAAGTCTTTGAAAACTCGTTACATGATGAAATCACCACTTATCCTTTTGGATTAGATATGATCAACCTTTAAGATTGGTTTGCGTTTAACACCATTTATAAGAATAAATCAAATCAAATAATATATATTTTAAATAATATATAACATAATATTACATTATCATAATCATATTTCTAAAAATAATCTAACGTTCCATGAATCAATCATACTACTCTTAGTTTATTTTAAAACTACCGTTTTCTTGGACATAATATCTTGGTTAAATTAGGAAAATATTATGAAGATGGAGAAATATTGATACCCTAAAATTATTTAATAATTTATTATATTTTTTATTGTAATGGCCAAAGTCATCTACAGAAAGATGATATCTCAGTCTAAGTTTGCAGGAGTCAGACAGATGGTTTGAGATTGAAGTTTTGAATGAGTGGACATGCATGTGTCTTGAATATATTGCATGCAAAAGTTCCTAAGTTCTCAAGTCAACATTTATCCTTTTTCTTTTAAGTTGGAATATCAAAGAGTGGGCACTCTAAATTAAAAGAGGAAAGGGTAGAAGTTGGTGTTGGCTGATTATCGAGACCTACAAAAGGTCGAAGGTGACTGCTCACTAGGGCACATTCTCATTACCCTTAAAATAACAACACGTACATGTTTTCTAAAAGCCAAAAGATAAAGGAAAACACTTGGTACAATTACCTCTTTTTTGCTGTCACTCTTGTTTCTTTAGAGTTTGTTAAGAGAATTGTAGAAGTAGGACTCAAATCATTAGATACTTCCTACCTGTTTTTTTTTTTCTCATATGGGCTAAGCACCGACTTATTTTCAACATCTTATTTATCTATTCATTATTCTTAATTTCATATTTTAAAACAATATTATGATTAAAATTAAAAATTATTTAATTATAAGAAAATCGATCAATGTTATCATAATAAATCTAAATTATTTCATTCAAGGTCGAAATAGTGTTTTGACTGCTGAATTATGTCAAAATAGCTGCTCCACCTACAGTGTTGTTGTCAGCGTACTTCTTATGGAATTTCAATAAAACTATGCCTAACAAGAAAAGATAAACATTATCTTAAATACCTAATCGTAAATAAATAAATCTCAAATTTCTATAAATAGTTGAGATGGAGATGGCCTAAGTCTTTAGTAAAAGGATATGCGAAGTCTTTGAATTTTTGAAAAAATAATATAATTCTCATATTAATTTCAATATGATTCTCTCACTCAAAAAAGAATTTAATATTTCTTTGATAAACATTTTTCGTCATTAACCAATATTAATATAAGTCCTTCACCATTAGGATGTTTTAAGTCAATCATAAGTTTCAGTAAAATTCATCTCTATGATTCTTTTCTTTTCTTTCAACAATTGTCCAGCCAACTAGAAACCGATTATCTTCGTCTCTTCCAAAAACCACATGCAATGTTCCTTTCGTAATAGATTTGATAAAATATCTACGTCAGTAGGAATTAACGGAGTTGTTAGTTAATGACAAAAACGTTGGTCAATGGACCACATTGAGTTCTTTTTTTGAGTTGAAGGGCCACAATGAGAGGGAAAAAAATACTAAGAGCTACATTGATTTTTTTTTTAAGTATAGAGATTTCGCATACCCTTTTACCTATTTTTTTCAAAAATTACTTTGTAATAGATTTTTATAATATTCAAATAAAATTTGAGTATGGGTGTTTTATTGAGGGAGTTGATCATGAGTTGAGCAATACTCGATTCGTGCTCGCTTAAAAATTTGTTGTTTGATTCGTGCTTGCACAAAATTTTTTTTGCTCAACTTGAATTGTTGCTCGTTAAACTAAATAAAGTTCTGCTCAACCCCTGTTCATTAAAGAAACATATTACTCGTAAATTATATGTTTCTCTCATTGGAATTTATGAAGGCTTAGAATTACGGTAGCGGAGTAGTGTTGTTTTAGTTTAGGTTTTAACACATTTGACTTTATTACTTCTCGTTGTTTGCTACCGTTGAATTTTGTGTATCATTTACTTCAAGTTTTGCTCTTTTTAAATATTAGTCGGGTCTTACGTTTCTGTTTATATGCAGAGATTTTTATGCAGGGATTTATTTGCAGGGATTACTTCACATTTCAGACGCATATATGTAGATTGCATATGAAGACTGTTCAACTATTTATTTATTTATTTATTTATACATGCATGGCATTTCTATCTTTACTTTTAGTTTTTCTAACTGTCGGAGGTCTTCCACGGAAGTTGCTCTCAACCTGGTATTGGGGGCAGCCTACTACCCTACCTCCCCCTTACCCCATTACATATGAGAATAGGGTTTTGTTGTTGCTGTTGTTGTTGTAATCCAAAAAAAAATCAAAAGAGTATATAAAACGATTTTAAAGTCTAAAATCTAATGTAACAATAAAAAAATAAATGAAACTAATGTATTACAACTAAAGTAACAATCTACAAATGATGAGTATTAATTAGTAATTTAGCATTTTTCTTATTATCTAATAATTAATTAGATTTTTAATGAAATATTTTTAAGGTAAATATTAAAAATTATAAAAAAATTAACTAATTACTCACGAACTCATCGAATCAAATTGATCTTGCTCGATTTAACTCGTTAAGTTATCAAATTAAACTCGAATTCAAGTTGAATCAACCTAAATCTAACATTTATAAAGCTTTAATTTAAACAACCCATGAGCTACTTAACTCATTAAATACCCCTAGATATCACAAATAGTAAAATAAATTTGTTTTACATAATTGATTCTCATTTATTTTGTCTTCAGCCGAGGAAATGATTTATCATTCCAACAAAAAGTGGGAAAAGTTGGATTGCATAGTGAATCATCCCGAACAAAACATAGAAACAAAGAGAAACAAACAAATTTGATGTAAGAAAGAAAAGAAAAAAACAGTAGCAGTTGCTGCAATCAAACATCTTTATCTCAAACCTGCCACGATTGCGATCTACAAAAGTTGGCAAATTACAATCTGACATATGTAATAAAGAGTGGGCAGTGGGTTATGGAGCGACCAACACGAAAGCTTTGAGAAATCAATTAACACACACATGTTTGTTTTTGTTCATCATTGCCATTGCTTACTTATCCAACCCCCCATTTTTTTTAAAAAAAGAATTTTTTGTTGTTTGCTTTCATCCTTTATTCTTTCTTCGTGTCGAGCTTTGAATGTTTGATCCTGAGTTGTTTTATTTCTTTGTCTGCAAGAATGGTCCTTTTGGAGTGCATTCATTTTCACACTTGGAAAACGTTTAGATGACCAGCTTTCTTCTTCGCTTGTCCTTTTGCTTTATGAGTAACTAGGTTAGACGTCGAATATGCACTGCCGACTTTGCTAATATTTTGATCCCATCTGTCTTGAAAGGTGAAAGGTGAAAAGTGAGGGACTGATGGTGGGAACTGGAAAGACAGCATGACCACAGTGTCATGCATGCGTAATGGGTTTCTTTTTCACCACTACGCAACTCAATTATGGGTCGGATGATTTCACTTTAAGCTGAGTCACAGTGATTTCGTCTACGTGTTATAAACTCCTAACTGCAACATTTTCCAATTTCGATCTGGACATTCACACCCTTTCAAAATTATTATTGAAAACAATAAACTTATTTTAAGAAAAAAATTTGTTTTGGATGATACTGACAATTGGCTTACGCAAAGATGTTTAATGAAGTACCTAAGCTGTATTAATCCCACAATGAAAAAGCACGAATAGTCTATAGATAAACAGGTGTATTGTACATCCTACCAGACAGACGATTCTTAAGACGAGACAAATGGTAGAGTAGCCCTTAATTACGGAATTCCACATAATACGCTCAGTCAATCCGACACTAAATGGGATTGACACTGTAGCTGCATTAAAGTTGTATTTTTTATTTGGGTAGTCTCTGTTGACATCAATACTGATGTTTAGTGTCCGTTTACTTTAAAGGGGGAAAATGAACTTTGTAAAATAAATTATACTTTTAGAAAATATTTCTTTGAAATCATTTTACAGTATTTAAATAATATTGTGTAATTCATTTTTTATTGGTTGATTTTTTTAAAAAGTTCTTTATTATAAATAGGGGTGAACGTTTGATAGAGCCGAGTAAAAAAATTTCGAGTTATTCGATATGACGAGTCCTATTTTATAACTCAGATTTGATTTGAAATTTTTTTTAGTCGAGTCGGTTTTATAAAATTCGAGTCGAGTCAAATTTTTTGAGTTTCTATTTAACTTTAATTATAAATATTTATAATATTATGAAATTATTTAATTTTAATGTCAATGATATTTTATAATCATATACAATACATATATACATTTTCTGTATTTTTTTCATATGTGATTTACATATACAAGTCGAGGGACTCAACTTAAACACCGACTTAAACTTAAAAATCAATCTACTAATTACTAAAACTTTCGAGTTATTCGAGTTGTATTTTACAACTCGATTTTGAATTTGAAATTTTTCGAATCGAGTGGAGCAAAAAATC